ACCATATCCTCAAACTTCAATGAACGTGTCCATATATAATGGAAGATAGATGGTAGTAGTATGAAGTATCGCATTCTATCCTAGTTCCTCAATGGTTTCAGAGGATGTCAATGCAACAGGTGCTTGATTCTGACGGATTAAAAAATAAAAAAAAGAAAAAAAAGAAAAAAGGAAGCAACTCACGGTATCACTATCATAAGAGACATGTTTCATCATTTACCGGAGTTGCAACCAAATATACACAATAAGGTTTGGTACTTTATCCGTACCTCCCCTTTCATAGAAATAATAGCAAAAATATACACCTATCTTTAAAAGATCAACATCTGATATAAAACATTCGATCAACCAAAATTAAAACAATTTTCCTGTTAATAATATAACGGCACTCATAAGAGGTCATACTAGGTATAAGTGTTATGTCCTGCCTAATTTAGCCACCATAGGTATTAAGTATAGTCCTAAAAACACAGTAATTTAAAATACTCGGCAATTCCCAGACATTCCATCTTCTATTTCTTGGTTAATTATAGAATCTTGGTTGATTCTATAATTCTCTTGGTTGATTCTATTGTCGTATATTGTCGGATTAAATTATATGTATTTGAATTTGATTCTTACCTAAAGACGTCACCTGACCGTCCTGCAACCCATACTTCCAAACAGATAACCTTTTTACCTTGGAAACCTGAGAATGCCGCAGAGATAACACTAAATGAGCCAGATCCTACAAGAAGATAACCACAGACTGGGGGACGCCGTACTCACACTATATAACGGCTCGTCGCAGCAAGTCAATTGGGATTTTTCCGCAGCTCTCGGATATGCTGACACTTGCTCACACTTCCTAATACCAGAGCTACCCCTAACCCTACCAACCCCTAAACTGATTAATACCCTCGGTGACTCCTTCCCCCTAAGGATCCGTGTCTCATATATTCCCTAAAAGGTACGTCTGAGAGCTCGGAATCCCAATATAGATATTTATATGTAAAGTGGTCGTCATATTTAGGTAGTCATCTTAAATTAGTTATTAAAAGGCGTCGGCACATTTAGGTAGTTATCTTACATCAGTTATTATACATTATAATGTTATCGTTCCCCCATTTCAGGATTCGTTCCAAACCTACTATCTTCCTGACTTATAAGTCACCATAGCCTTTAGTCCTCATAGTTGGTAAGACTTCGTAATCTATTCTTTTTTCTAGTCTCTCGTTGTTATTATTAATTACCTAAAACTAGCTCAACCAGTTATCTTATTACGTTGTAGTCGTTATAGTTATCCTCAATCGTAATCATCGGGATCATTCAGGTTATCACTCAAGCTGCCCGATTGTCTCTTCGTCCACCTTCGCTTACCTCGATGTCATGATCCTCCCTACTTCCTACGTACTTGACGCCATCGTTGATTGGACATTTAAATAATTTCACCTGATATTACTACTTTTACGTTTTGTTGATATTGCATTATTATATTAAATTGATTACTACTATTAGTTCCATTTCGTTGCAACACCTATATACTCGTCTTTACTGCATCAACAACCAACTACAAATTAAACATCTAAACCTAAATTGAATCCTTAGAATACTTTCTGCATTTCCGGAGTCGTAGTTCGAACCCCGTCCCGTTAATTAACCTAATACTAGGCCACAACTACACCATTAGAATTAAAGGCATTGGCACTGACTCATGATTAAGGAGCCCTTATAAACTAAATAATAAATTGTAAGTCAGGCCGTGATTGAGACCGTGATTCAATGGCATATAATTCCTTGCAGCCGGGCCTGAGTACACAACATCTGTACTCAGCCGTTCTACCGCACCTTACAGCACCATATAGACAATTAAGAAAACGAACATCTCCATAATTAATATTAATCTTAAGTAACCAGGCACAGTAAACTCCACACCCTAACCTAACTGTACATAAACGCATAATTAAAATAAACCCGGTCATAACATGTGGAGCCCTAAGCGCGACTCTGGAATTGCGAGGTATAATTCCCTGTAAAATTTAACTACGGTTGTTGATGAAGTAAAATGTTTTATTAATAGGTATAGGCCACTTCAAGCTTCATGTCATTGTAATTGTGCTTACGTTTGACAGCTAGTAAATAACTAACTCATATTTTTTTAAATCTAAATTTCGTTATTGTATATTGTGTAAGCCATCTCAAGCTTATCGAAACTGAGTGCCTTACGTTGATAGCAGTTTATACCAACTGTTCCTGCGAACACGATAAGTATAACACAATTAAATTGATATCCATCTCATTGCCTATAGCGACTAGCAAGCCGTAACAGTTTGTACCAACTGTCCATAGAATTGTGATCGTAATTCGTTTACAATTTTAAACAAATCGTGTTGGGGACCAAAAAAAAAAAAAAAAAAAAAGCTGGAAGAGACACCAAACCTTAGTTTGCTTGTTTTGTTAGTGCACCGTTAGTGCAATTTATTTATTTACATTGATAGTAGTTGTTGCAGCCATCGCCATAAAATTATGAAGTCACAGCAGAGAAGTAGGTTGAAGAGATAATTGTTTAGTGTAGAAGTTGAAAAGTTATTATGAGATATCGTACGGGTAAGTTGTGATGATATATACGGCCGTATAATTGGGTAAAGATCGGAATGATGCAAGAGATGTATGATGTTACGAGATAATGAGATTATGTTTATATGTAATGTTGAAATGTGAGAAAATTATATTATGGGGAGATATATTAAACTGCAGTATAAATTATTAGCCGGCTAAGGGATACGGGGTTCAGAAGATGTTGTGAAGTATTGGGAGGAGGTGCTATAATGGTTGTTGACAAGGTGTTAGTTTTAATTAGTAGATGGGCTTCTTATCTGTTATTTGAGTGTTGTGATACCGCCAAAAGCGCGCTTGGTGGTTAGAAACACTTCGGATTCAGTACGACCCTTCGAACTTTGAAACTAAGATTGGCAACATGATTTAGCGTAATAGGGTATGCGGACGTGAAGAAAAGAAGATATTTGAAGTATGATGATACAGAGGGAGATTTGATAAAGGGTTTGTTGTTTAAAAATAAAGATGATTTAGCGTAATAGGGTATGCGGACGTGAAGAAAAGAAGATATTTGAAGTATGATGATACAGAGGGAGATTTGATAAAGGGTTTGTTGTTTAAAAATAAAGATGATTTAGTGTAATAGGGTATGCGGACGTGAAGAAAAGAAGATATTTGAAGTATGATGATACAGAGGGAGATTTGATAAAGGGTTTGTTGTTTAAAAATATAAAGATGATTTAGCGTAATAGGGTATGCGGACGTGAAGAAAAGAAGATATTTGAAGTATGATGGTACAGAGGGAGATTTGATAAAGGGGTTGTTGTTTAAAAATAAAGATGATTTAGCGTAATAGGGTATGCGGACGTGAAGAAGAGAAGATATTTGAAATGAGATGAGACAGAAATGAGTTGATAAAGAAGTAATGTTGTTAAAGTTGGCATGGTGGAATCATGCTGGGAAATAAGAGATACAAATTTTGTTGAGTTTGGGGTAATTTACGTTGTGAAATATGGCTGGTGGCTGCACATTAATTACCGCATAAGGCATTCAGGAAAACTTTTGATTATGAATAAACTGAAATTAATTCGGCCTAAACAATTATCTAGAACTTAAAGAACATCACTTAAGGCCAGAGGGGGGGGTAAATGGCACTTTTGTAGTTTTTGCATATTTGATAATAGCTACTGGAGACGAACAAAAAGAAAAAAACCGGATCAAAATCTGACCTTGCGCTTCTGAGATATCGCGCGCTCAATTTTGAGGTTTACCTGTAATTACATGTTAAACTGGAACTTTAAACGGCTGTAACTTTTTTGACCTTTCGATTCCTTAGTTGAGAAAACCGGCCAATCCCTGATCTTGAGATTTGGTACAGTGGTTCCTTGGACAATTATCCTCACATCTGGTGCAGCGATTTTTTTTATTTGACTCTGTTCTCAAATTATGAGGTTAACCATGTCAAAAATTCGGAAAATTTAATTGGTTAACCTCATAATTCGAGAAACGAGTCAAATAAAAAAAATCGCTGCACCAGATATCTAGATAGTTGTCCAAGGAACCACTGTACCAAATCTCAATATCAGGGAGTGGCCGGTTTTCTGAACTAAGGAATCGAAAGGTCAAAAAATGTGTTTTGAGATAGATGCAATTTAGTGTTTTCAAAATTTTGAATATTCACTGGAATGTATCACAGTTCGTTAGTTAGGACTTTTTATACACTTAATAACGTTTGCTTGATCAGACCTGGCCGTCTCCTAAATGATTTTAGCCACTTTCAGTAGTTAATGTCCTTGTATTGTAAAAAATGAGGTTAACCAAGACTTCCTGTAAACACTAACTGCTTAGAATTTGGTTGTTAACCTCGCTTTAGACCATATAACACTGGGATTGGTTTATCAATATGTTACTATATATGTAGTAAAACATTTGTACAGTATAACGATTAAGTTTTTGAGGTTAACATGTAATTGACTGGTCAGATATTCAAAAATGAGAGGTTAACCTCATTTTTTAGCCATTTACGGGTAAAATCTTCTACTAAAATATGGTCAGTTCAAATCACCTTTGTCACGTGATTATAGTTGTAGGCATTGTGATACCAATAGATACCTCACTTCGATATTGTGGTACATTACATAAGTAAGAATCGTATGTATATTCCCTACGGTACCAAAATGTGATGGTTAACCTCATTTTTTTCATTTTCTCAAGATAAAAGAAAGTCAATCAACACGTCATCTATTTAAAAATTTGTATACCGTAAACTTACGATGAAAATAATAACTCTATCATTTGATCTATTCTCGATATATCTAAAAGAAGAGGTTAACCTCATTTAATCACGTTTGGATATTACTTTTTCTGATAATTATGAACCTAAAATTTAGAGTTTACATTTGCTGACCGAAATAACAAAAAATTATGGCGTGTAATCGAATATGAACCTCAATTTTATTAACTTCAATGTTGTATAGTCAATTTTGTGAAAATCGGTTAACCTCAATTATAAAATAAAGTTAATCAGCTACAAATATGTGAATAGCAGCAATGTTTTTGTCATCAAAAATTAAATCGATTTAGAAAATAATATTTTGGTAGAATTTTTTGACCCCTTACCCCCCCCTCTGGCCTTAATAGCTTAATTATAACCGTAACACACATTTATATTCTCTTGCCACATCGTTTGCTACTCGTTTGATGATTTGAATTTTTATTAAACCTTGATTAATAGTTATATTTTGTAAATAATAAGTCGCTAACGTAATTAAACTATTAGTATTAGGATTTTATTTTCCTCTTAGACTTCGAGTATGTGTTATTCGCTGTCTTTGCGTGCCTTAAAACAGTTAACCTCCGTAATGTCGTCTAATCATTGATAATACCCCAGCAAGTTGTTACACCTACTCTTATAAGGCCCGACCTGCTGAGAAAGTTCATTCGCCAGCAGTCTTTTGTTAATTCATAAATCCTGGGACGATACCCCAACATGCTTTACAGTTCAGCGACAGCCAGTCTTCTAAATGCTGATTTTCAATTTGTGATAGCAAACAGTTAGACATGATTCCTATGGCTGATTGTCTAAATCTAGGCAACAATTTCACTACCACTTCCAAAAGAGCAGTGTTCTCTTATTTTCAACTAACACAATGTATTGGAAACCTCCGAAATAGTGACGTAAACATCTCCTCACCTTCAGGCCTCCTAGTTCGCACACTATCAACAACAATCAAAATAGTATATGACCAGCCAAAACACCAGCTAGACCTTTATGTGTCGGCACTGATGAAAACTGTCGCAACCCCAGAATCCGGCGCTATGTTTATACCCTGGCATAAAAACATATCTGCTGTAACGTTTTCGAAGGCCGTGGTATACTCCCCTGTAAATGCAAACCACAAAGTTCAACTGACGGTATCCGCTGATGAAAGAGCCGCTAGGCTCGACCTCTACTCACTCCTTTCAATACCCTCAGAAGGCACAATACGAATTACGCAATTATTAGAAGAGCAGCAGAAGCGAATTCAAAATTTAGAAAATGGGGTAAAACCAACGGTTAACTCTGTAAAAGAGTGGGCCACACAAGCCTTTACCCTCCCAACATGGCTTCGAATTATCATTTATGCAGCTTTTGCTATAGGGACATTGACTATTTGTCACTTGTTGTTCGAAACATTCGAAAAATGTTTCTGAAATCCAATCGCCCAGACATCAACCAATATGAACACCTAAACAGGCCGGCCCGTTTAATAGACAATACCCTGTACCCTAGATTGTCGCAGATCGGGACCACCACCCCCAATTGCAAGGTCCCCCTCGGTAGTTAACATAATGTTCCCTCACCCTACCGTGCCTGGCTATCCAACCGCTCCGCTACCACCTACAGAGTAAGTACAGGTAAATATAAAAATTTGAAACAAAATATATAAAAATGATTACAAAACAAAATACAAAGATAAGTTTTATTAATTGTGTAAATCTATATGTTTATTTAATTCAAACAAATACTCAAGCACAAATCACTCATCAAATCCTTAAGTAGTTTTAGCAGATGTTTTAATTTTAAAATAAGATTAGATTAAAGCATATTCATTTTAAGTAATGCCATAAATTTTTATTCAAAGTGTTCGGCTCTTGTTGTTTAGATGTGAGTAACTTTTCATACTAGAAAGATATCTTTAAACACTATTGTGTGAACTGCAATCGAGTTGACTGCAGTTGGGTTGAGTCTAATAGAGATGGCTATGTGTCCATACTCTTTATTACTGTTATTATTATTATATGTTGTTATTTAGATGTTGTAATTTAGATGGGTTTTAAAAAAATAAAAACTAGGCTGCTAGTTAGCTTCAATTTCAAGGTGGAATGCCTGGTGAGCGTGGGACCGCTCAAAAAGAAACCGAATGATGTTATGTCCTGCCTAATTTAGCCACCATAGGTATTAAGTATAGTCCTAAAAACACAGTAATTTAAAATACTCGGCAATTCCCAGACATTCCATCTTCTATTTCTTGGTTAATTATAGAATCTTGGTTGATTCTATAATTCTCTTGGTTGATTCTATTGTCGTATATTGTCGGATTAAATTATATGTATTTGAATTTGATTCTTACCTAAAGACGTCACCTGACCGTCCTGCAACCCATACTTCCAAACAGATAACCTTTTTACCTTGGAAACCTGAGAATGCCGCAGAGATAACACTAAATGAGCCAGATCCTACAAGAAGATAACCACAGACTGGGGGACGCCGTACTCACACTATATAACGGCTCGTCGCAGCAAGTCAATTGGGATTTTTCCGCAGCTCTCGGATATGCTGACACTTGCTCACACTTCCTAATACCAGAGCTACCCCTAACCCTACCAACCCCTAAACTGATTAATACCCTCGGTGACTCCTTCCCCCTAAGGATCCGTGTCTCATATATTCCCTAAAAGGTACGTCTGAGAGCTCGGAATCCCAATATAGATATTTATATGTAAAGTGGTCGTCATATTTAGGTAGTCATCTTAAATTAGTTATTAAAAGGCGTCGGCACATTTAGGTAGTTATCTTACATCAGTTATTATACATTATAATGTTATCGTTCCCCCATTTCAGGATTCGTTCCAAACCTACTATCTTCCTGACTTATAAGTCACCATAGCCTTTAGTCCTCATAGTTGGTAAGACTTCGTAATCTATTCTTTTTTCTAGTCTCTCGTTGTTATTATTAATTACCTAAAACTAGCTCAACCAGTTATCTTATTACGTTGTAGTCGTTATAGTTATCCTCAATCGTAATCATCGGGATCATTCAGGTTATCACTCAAGCTGCCCGATTGTCTCTTCGTCCACCTTCGCTTACCTCGATGTCATGATCCTCCCTACTTCCTACGTACTTGACGCCATCGTTGATTGGACATTTAAATAATTTCACCTGATATTACTACTTTTACGTTTTGTTGATATTGCATTATTATATTAAATTGATTACTACTATTAGTTCCATTTCGTTGCAACACCTATATACTCGTCTTTACTGCATCAACAACCAACTACAAATTAAACATCTAAACCTAAATTGAATCCTTAGAATACTTTCTGCATTTCCGGAGTCGTAGTTCGAACCCCGTCCCGTTAATTAACCTAATACTAGGCCACAACTACACCATTAGAATTAAAGGCATTGGCACTGACTCATGATTAAGGAGCCCTTATAAACTAAATAATAAATTGTAAGTCAGGCCGTGATTGAGACCGTGATTCAATGGCATATAATTCCTTGCAGCCGGGCCTGAGTACACAACATCTGTACTCAGCCGTTCTACCGCACCTTACAGCACCATATAGACAATTAAGAAAACGAACATCTCCATAATTAATATTAATCTTAAGTAACCAGGCACAGTAAACTCCACACCCTAACCTAACTGTACATAAACGCATAATTAAAATAAACCCGGTCATAACAATAAGTCCAAATGCTGTGTCAGCAACCGTTTTTGTTACTTTCTTTTCTTCTAGACTCCTCACACCATGAACTGATACCACTATGCTTTTAAGGATTTAACGGATATATCTACAGCAGCAAGAAATCTGATGACAACGTCCTTTCCTCTGCTTGGCAATTGGATTACTGACGGGACATTTTATGTCGCTGATCGCTCTTAAGATATTTCCCCAATATATTTCATTCACGTACGTGCAGCCAAGCAGTTATAAAAAACAAATATCTTAAAAGTTTAAATAGCATTTAAAAACCCGAATTTTCAAATAACTGAATGTAATTAACAAATGATACTTAACGGGCAATACTCTTAAAATATTTGTTTCAAGACTGTCGACCATTAAACCTAGATGTTCGTTTTGGTTGTATCACGTCGTGACCCCCACTGTCGTTTCACTATAGTGTTAGAGTTTTTATGATACAAGGGGAGCCGCGCACTCGTGCGCGGCGGGTCATACAACGTATGACAACGTTTTGGTAGGCTATAGACCTATAAGAATGCAAGCGCTCGATTTTACTTGTAGGTTTTTAACCTACTAAGACGCGCGCCGAGTTGGACTTGACATATAATACGTTGCATGCCACTTTTCTCTTAACGGGTGATACTCGTAAAATATCTGTTCCATGTATTGGTCCAACTCTGCGCGCGTCCTGGTAGGTTGTAAACCTACAACTTGTCTTTGATGTTTGTGATACAAACAAATATTTCATTACCTGGGGACCTCAGGCTATCATGTTCATTAACATATAGAGTAGAGATTCAGCGGAATGACAGGCTGAGCGCGGCCCAGTTAACGGGTGATACTCGTAAAATATCTGTTCCAACTCGGCGCGCGTCCTGGTAGGTTGTAAAGTGTAAACCTACAAGCGGCCCAGTAAATATTTTACGAGTATCACCCGTTAAGATTTTACTTAAAACAAATAGATTGCAAGTCCATCTGTGCGGCATAATTAAAATTACATTTTATTTATATCGCCTACATCATACATAGCATAATAAACAAAAATTTAGTGGAACAAAGATTCGCATATATTATATTTGAATATGGTATACTATAAAATGCCTTGAGCATATAATGCCTCCAAACTGCCACAAAAAATCGGTTGAATAAAAATTGGTTATCGCGACGTGAGATACTGTTTGCTGTTGCATGCATGTAGTGTCACGTTCACGCCCGCCATTAAAATCGTTTTCTATGCTGAAATAAACGTACGTTGAACGCGCCAAATCATACTTTGCACACACTTTTATACGTCGCGCGTTCCAGAATATGCCGTAGTATTATCAGTTTTATATGAACATTAACCGGGTGTTCCCATTTTTACTAAAGTTCGAAGAGTTTAACTTAGAAAACCCCAGCTACATACTTCAATTTAAGAAGAACTTCAGAAGCCTAGAAATGAATGGTTTGAGAAGTCATAAAAGAACGACCATCAGTCTTGACCAATAGTTAGGCGAGAGAGCTAATACCCAATGCTGCATGGCTCCACCGGTATCTTGAATAGTAGACCAGTCACCACTGGCCTTTATTACTTATAATATGAACACAACAAGTTAGCCGAGCTGTACAGAAAACATGGCATTCTGATACTCAAAACTCGAAATATGGTTCTTAACCCAATATACCAGATTACAGGTCTTGAATTACCGCTTCTAATTTTTAGTAATACGTTCTTCAAGAGTCACGTGTCAAAGAGTCACGTGTCAAAGAGGATCGACTTTATCATATCATTGAATTTCAAATATTGACTTGAACAAAGGCGGGATATTAACGTTACGTTTTCCTTCTATCAACTACTAATTATTTCAGACACTCAGTCATGCTAAATCTTCTAAATCAACTGTTACATTCACTAGACCGCCAATATCCGTCTTTCGTCCGAAGTTGGACCTTTGTACTATTACTAACGATTTCGTTGAAACATTTACGACGGCTATAATAGATATTGGATAGTGATTAGCTGTATAATAGTAACTCATGTGTATGTTTGTTAGCTTGCACATTGGAATACACGATACAGTCATGATAAACACAGTGAATTACACTGTAAAAGTAGTTTAGCTCAGCCTGTTCATTTCAAGGGTCTTATGTTATGAACAGGGAAACGATCTGTACATTTCAGATTAGCGGATCTATACTAAAGATATCCCTATCGAGTTATCTTCAATACCCTCACTCGCGTTTACAATTTTACTATTACAATATCTTGGAATCTAGGTATGTGAAATATTGAGTGTGTAAGAACAGTCACGTACTGCTAATAAAGTTCACTGTCTATATTCCTACTTATCATTAGTTAAAGTAGCTTAGCAGTACACTATTATAAGGTAGACGTCTCTCTTTCTTAACATTCAAAGGATCTATACTATCTTATAATGTGCTGAGGTAAATAGGTTCCCGGTGTTCATTCGGCTGATACATGTGAGCTTGTTTTGACACGTGACCAATGCAGTTGGAGCAGTCAAAACTTAAGTTAACAACTTCGTAGAAAGACAAGTTATCTAGTACACATAAGTTCTGATCGGTAACCAACGAGTTCAACATAAAAGCTGGTATTCGTTGTTTGCCAAAGTAAACATTGTTTACATTCTAACCACAATAGTTTGCTGTATAGTTAAAGTAACCGGTTTAAAACAAGTGTACTTCATAATGTACACAGTACAAAGACACGGGCGAGTGCGTTAAGTAATGTAGTAATGTATACAAGTTATAACATGTAACAGATGCCGCTCAAGTGTAGAACTCCTTCGTTACGATCTTACTAACGAACGTAACTGTTGAAATAATTTATTGAAATGGAATAAAAAGAGAACGGAAAACTCCAAAACACCTGTTAGCGTTTTAAACTCAATTATATTTATCAACTATTCATAGTTTTGAGCAATATATTGAACATGGCGAGTGTATGATATAAGAAAACAAAAGTAAAACCGCGTTATTGCGCTCTGCCGTAAGCAGTTTTCTGAAAAAAGTACTTAAAGACCATTTTTGAAAATTTGGATTTTTTTGTCTAACTTATGTTTTTGGGTCAAGAACTACCCCTGAGAACCATTGGATACATTCGCCGACCTCCTGAAAACCCCCCTTTTTAGAACCCCCTAAAATGCAAAAAATTGTAATTTTTCTGAGAAAAGTGCTTAACGACCATTTTTGAAAACGGATGCCGTTTATCTCAAGAATGATGCCATTTCGGGAACTTAAAATGGTTGCTGTTTTGTTGTTTTAGTTACCGATCTTACAGTCTAAAAAAACTGTGATATAAAGAGTGCTTTTAAAAGATTTCAAATAAAGTGATGATGCACCATGTTATTATTATATAATACTCAATGTGTTTCATCTTCTTAAATCACAACTGTTCCTCTGCCGATTTAATACACGATACTCCATGTGTGTAATGTTACGTGTATGTTAGTACTAGAGGAGGAGTTACAAAAGCTGGACACCGAGTTACGATTCTTGAGAGAGTTCTCATTGGTTAGTTTGTGTCACGTGGTCTTGGGAGTTGTTGACAGATTTAGCGAATTTTGATGGCAAAATAAAGAGATTTTCTGAAAAGTAAGCTGCATTTTACTGCATTTATTTGGCGCACTAACTCAAGCGTTAAAAAGTGTTTTATATAGGGGGTGCTATTATAAGGGTGTATTGTGTGTGTGTGTGTGTGTGTGTGTGTGCGTGCGTGTGTGTGTGTGTGTGCGTGTGTGTGTGTGTGTGTGTGTGTGTGTGTGTGTGTGTGTGTGTGTGTGTGTGTGTGTGTGTGTGTGTGTGTGTGTGTGTGTGTGTGTGTGTGTGTGTGTGTGTGTGTGTGTGTGTGTGTGTGTGTGTGTGTGTGTGTGTGTGTGTGTGTGTGTGTGATGTATTGTAGCTTTGTAGAAGTAAAACTCGGGGGATTCTTAGAGAAATTTATTCTATCAAAAGAAATCTGATGTCGCTGCAAACGGTATATATATCAGTTATGTTAAAAAGCAAATTGTGTTTATTAACAAATCTTTTGTATTCAGAATAGCATGCCTAATCAAAAACTATGCAGCCATAAATCAAACAGTTGTATTTCTCTCAATTAATGTGCGTACAAACTGCCATAAATTGAGAAACAATAGAAATTACAAATCATCGAATCCAGACAGCCTCAAGTGTCTTGTTTGTGTAGTCTGGGCATGTTTTCTATAATTTCGAGTTTCTTCTTTTAAATTCAGCTTTCATGATTTTATGAAAGCTAAAATTTTCCACCAAATCAATTAATCCGTGAAAGAAGGCGAGATAAAATGGTGGTGGTGATCACGAGTTCAATTTAAATCAATATTTTCAACATCTTAAAAACACGAATCTACATTCTACAATTACTTCTATAATATACTAATATATTATCATTATACAACTGATGCTAAAAATCATTAAAAATATCTTCATGTTATAATTCTGCCTTGGTAACAGCCCTATTAACAGCTTCAATTGACGAAAAGGCATAAAATCATCATCATCATCGACTTGAATTCTGTAAGCAATGTAGATAAAACTGCGTAATTTCAGCCCGAATAGGGCTAACGTTAAAATTCCAACTAGTGCGAATAGGAGGCCTAGATTTAATTAATTAATTACTAAAATTAACTTGTATTGTTTTTTGCCCCTCTTGATCGGTCTTCCAATTGGTTTCAGTTCAATTATTTAGTTACATCTTAGAAATATAGCACAGTTCTTAGGAAGCGAAGGTAGTACTTTAAGAAACATACATTAGTTATAAACTATCGTATCAGACTTTTAACAATATTTGCTCGGAAACGAAAATTTGACTAATATGATAAGGAGAGATAAGAGTAGAATTTAGGGGCATAAATTTCTGAAATGATTCCAAATTAAGAACATGCAAGAGAACAATCGAGTCTTCCGGCTGAGCCAAAACAACTCCTAAAACTGAAAGAAAATTTTTAAACATTCATCAAGATCAAAAATATCTGAAACCCTTGAATCTGTATACCCAAACACGTGCGAAATCATCAAAACTAAAATTTTAAAAATTATCAGCTATTAACAAATTTATTA